TTTTATAATAGTTGATTCTTATCAGTAAACAAATAAGACAGGGTATTTGAAAAAGTTAAGGACCTGATACAATTGAAGCTAATAAAAGGCTTTCAGTTAAATTCAGTGGGTATTGGATCAGGCCCTAAGTCAGTAAGAGCATCTTTAAATTCCTCATATTGTACTCACAGTAGAAAGTGTACAACAATAGCCTATTCAATAATCAAAAAGAGTGCATATGTGTGAAATGGACAATATATCTTAACTTTTTAATGTCCTGATGTTTGTGTGTGTAGATTTGCAACCTAAGCACTACATTAAAATGGCTTGCACTGTGTTAGACAGGGAGATGTAGGATTTTGCAAGTAAATGTTGTTGAGCTCCACAGAATTGCTCAGGATATGCAGGTAACTGAAAGGCAGACATTAGAATGGATTTTAAATGGCGGGCCACAACTTTATTACCTTAACACAAGATACAGGTGATATACAGCCACCCAACTCTCACACTAGACAAGTAACTGTGTCCAATGGAGGTTTTTGGGACTCCCACCATACAACCAATACTACAAATCCTACTCTTCTTTGCCCCAACTGTGCCTCCATGATGCTGTGAGGAACTGCGTTAAAGGAGTGTTATTGAGGTTGCAGAGTCAAGCACTAAAAAATTAGGAAATGCCAGATTAATGGTTGCTGATGCAACCTTAATTTGGCCCTTTTGTGTGTCCAATCTGTGAACTGAATGAGGCAGGAAACCTATGGAAAAAATAGTCTATGATCATATACTTAAAGCGTGAGCTGAACTTAGGTTGTGGGGTCACCACGAACCTGAGATTCCCTAACTTTTGAGTATTTTATGTTGCAGCCTAAATAATATTCTTTTAACATAGTTTTTTACATGTAATTTCCTAGGTAAAAATAATTTCTATTATGTATGACTGTAACAGTCCCCCAGCCCCTTTTATCATCAGTGTGGTTTGAATCTTGAGCCTTCAGCACTGTGGCAGATGTCTACTACTTGAGCTTCAGGACTAACTACATTAGCTGGCAGCATAAAAAAGCTGTTATCCTGTCATAGGGGGATGGAACACTTGTGTCATATGCTTGGTTCAGAGGATGGACAAGAGGAGCTTGGCCTGCCTCTTTTTTTCCCACTCCCAGATGTGGGAGCTCTAGTCCTTGTGGTGCCCTCAGAGGTGGGTATGAGTTACTGGGACCATGTACTGGGTCTGAGAGATTATGGGGGATCTTGGTGTCGCTTTCTTACCTCCTTCCAACCAGGAGTGGGGGAGCACCTGTCCCAAATCAAGTCCCTGTGTGGGAGATAGGACACTGGGGCAATGGCTGGATCTGGGGGATGATGAGGGAGCCTGCCTCAGCTCGCTCGCTCTGTCGTCTCCTCATCCCCGGGAATTGTGAAAGTGCATGCCACATGAGATGGGATGCTGGGTCCAGGGAAGTGGGGATGTCATTGAAGGAAGCCCACCCTGACTCTTTTCTTCCTACCCCCACACCACAGCTGCTCTGGCAGCTCTCAGGCATTCACAGTGCAGCATGGCAATGGTAGGATCCAGTCTATTACAATGTTCAGTGATTTTGTCAGGCTGCCAGAATTGTTCTGAGGAACACAAGAGAGGAAAAGGAAATGGTGATTTGTAACACTTCACAACACATCTAAATCTGATTGAAATGTAATGGGACAAAGAAAAGGCACTGCAATAACCTTAGGGGTTTCTCGCAACTGAATATCAACGACCTTCTGCAAGCAATGGAGTTGCTAACATTTCTCAAATGAAAAGGTCTCAGTAATCCTTTAAAATGGAAATATAGTGGTTGCTGCCAGGTATCCCTATAATCATCCAAACTTAATCCAAAACCCCTTGTCTAGACTGCTTTGGGAAAGCAATAAATCCCAGTGGGCACTGGAAACTTGCAGTAGGGAAAAATCCATTCCCAACCCCAATAGGCAATCCACTAAGTGGATCTGAAAACCTGGCCAGTTTTTTCCCAAACCACCAATGAGCAATGAGTCATGTAGCAGGTGATCCCAAATGACATACATTAGGAAGAGAGCTGGGAAATAGTGATGGCCAAAATGATGACCCTTGAGCCTGTTTCCAGCCTAAATGTGTCCTGAGTGGAATTCTGGCCACACTAAAGTCAATGCCAAAACTCCCATTGACTTCAGTGGGGACAAGATTTCACCCTGTCCCTCCTCTTTCCTTCCCCTGCATGACCCAGACCCCAGTGTCTGTCCACTGGAGGGGAATGGATCTGCTCAAAACACATCATCTTGAACTTCTGGAGGGGAAAGGGAGTGGTCCACAGGGTGGCAATCAAGTGCTGCAGAAGTCTCTTATCCCATCGCCAGTGAATGTGGTATCAATTTTATTCAGAATACTATGAACAACTGAAATGGGCTTATAATGAAATACGTTTTGCAACTTTGTAGCATTCACAGACAGAAAATTTTTAAATGAAATAGTAATCTGTAGCACAGAACAAAATTTGAATGAACGTATTGTATACAGATATGAACTATATTTATATTTTCTAACCACATGTATTCCCAGATAATAAAAATCACCTTAAAATTAAGTGAAGCATCTGAAATAAACCTAGGAAAAGCTCTGAATTCCAGTTAAGAATTAAAAATCCAAAAGATAGGCACAACAGGTCATAGCAGGATAACATAATAGGGCACCCTGTAGTTCTCAACTATTACAGGTTTAATCCTTGACTCTGAATTTTCTTGCTTTTGTATATTTGTCTCAGATGCTTAAAATAATGTTGTCATGGAATTTTGGATTAATGTTTTTACATAATTTACTGTAACTATATCATATTTCTGGCTTCTGCTTTTTTTTTAATCCATCAGCTGCTTCGGATTTCAGCATCCATCGGTAAACTGTTTCTCAATGGTCTTCAAATCAAATTAAAGTATAAATGTAAAAAAAAAAAGATAGGCTGGGGCTTTTAGAAAGCAGAGATAATAAGATCTAAAGTTCACAGGGTCAATAGGATGGAAAGTGACATAGTTTGCAAAACTTGCCATTGTAAGTATTACAGAATGCTTTTCCAATTATAAACCAAAATAAGAATTTTCTTTAATTAAAACATGTAATGTTAATCTACTGGGTACTTATTTCATACATGAAGGTCGCCAAGTAAAGCAATCCAAAGTGCTTTGATGGGCACATCAAAGTTAAAGTTGCCCTCCCAAGTTTAACTCTGTTCCTATCTGCATCCTGATTCAGTCTGGTGTTATGACAATGCTCAGCAAATGTGCCAGTGTTGAATATTTTTTATCCTCACTTTAATATGTGGGTGTCAATTTTGTCAAAGTCCAAATTTTTTGGTCAAGGTGTAGTCAAGGTCCAGACTCCAGAGAAGATACAAAAATAATAATGATAATAAATAAATAAAAAGATTTTGAGGTCCCTTCAAAAGTGTCTGGCGGTTCGTATTTGGCCTGTGGTCCTCCTTTTGACTACCCCTGCTGCAATATGTGGTTCTCTGCCTCACTTGCCGCATGCTGTCTGACTCCCACAGTAACTAGGTGGGGAATCCTCTGGACCATTTACAGTGCAACATGTATTAGGGTCCTGCAACCAAAACAGTATGTGATTATTTTAATTGAGAATTTATTGGAAGCTTCATAGTTGCATAGACAAAGATGCATGGGGAAACCTGCCATAACTAGACTTTAGAGTGCCTTCACTTTGCAACCTGCATTCTTTTAATGTCTTCTTGTGTGTGCATAATTTCCTAGGCATTTAAAAGAGAAAAAAGATAGAATAAAAATTCCATCATTTGGAATTATTTGCTAGACAACAGCAAGAATATCATATATTATTTAGTATGATGGGTTAATTTCATACCCATCTTCACAGACACTGAGGAGTAAGGCAAGGCTCCCAGGCTGAGAACCAGTAAGGAAATCTTCGCTCTGGTAGCATCACACTAGAATGTAATGTTCAGTCGTGACCCCCTCCCCCCAACAGTTATCTACTATCACACATTTTGAGAATTAGTGCTTTTCTGGGATGCAGTACATTTTTGTAAAAATGTTTAAATTTAATAGTTGCTATTTTATTTAATGGTTGATATGACACAAGTCAGAGGCACAAACAATAAGTGGGGAATTAGGGAGATGTGTATATAGGTTACACAATGAGTTAGTTGTACACAAGTCTTGTTCTGATGCAAGTTCCACAGCACAGATAACGTACTGATAACAAATAGAGCTAACCCTTAGTAGCATATTTCTTGAAGATGTAAAATCCTAGTTTGGTAGGGTGTATCATAACTGTTCAGAATAGCATAATATAAAAAAAATAAAATGATGACATTCATTTATTTTCATTGTTAGTGTCCTTCCTAGGCTCTGAGTTATTTATCTTTATATTTCACTCATTACCATGAACAAAGAATCAATATTTCATAGAACAAAATAAAATTCATACCTCATTCAATCAGCTGCCCAAAAAATAACAATAAAGCCAGACCTCCCCCCATCTCAGCAACCTGTCAAAAGAGTCCCCATATCTCCACCCAATCCTACCAACTGAGAAGAAAACAAGAGTAGACTGTGGCATTATATTAAAATAAAAACTTTATAGGTGCTTTCATGTGATTTAATTTGAATGCACAGTCTTGTGCTGATCAGACCAGGCATACTTATATATGTAACAAAGAGAGTGTTTAATGGTGATTTCAATGGAAGTAGTACCAGAGCATACCTGCCTGCCAATTATCATGGCAACAGTAGTCTTATGACAGAGTATGCAATATTGTATCCTTCCATTCCAGCAATCAGATTTACATGGTGCAAAATTCATTATCAACATAAGAGTGTGTGTGTGTGTGTGTGTGTGTGTGTGTAAAATGAAATGCCAATTATTATTCTACTCATGTTTTTGTTATAAACTTAAAAATGTCTCATATTTCATTAGGAAACTGCTGTGTGATCCATTCTGCTGTATTCTTGTATTATATGTGTACTCATTTGTTTGGTCATAGGAGCCCTTCACAACATTCTTTCTTAATGCAAATGATGCAAAATTTGACCATCCAGATCGAACCTTCTCTTCAGTGGCAAGATCTTGGAGAAACAGCCAAAGAGATACCTCAGATGTGAAGGTAGGTTTAATTTTACATTTTTAATTCATGTAATGTGTTGTGTTAAATAACATGGAGCTATAGCTTATGCATTTTCATTTCTGATGTTTTGTTTCACATAGGCTCATAGAAGCTTTTTTTATTTAGTCCCTTTATATAAAAACCCAGTATATTATACACACTTTAAGTAGAAGGTGACTGTTAGAAAATACAGTTGCCATAATAGAAAACAGTCAACAATTCTATTATGTTGAGGGTTTAAAGTTGTTTTGTTTCCACACAAAAATCTGATCTAATTTAGATCAGTTAATCAGAATATGAAAAAAGCCCAATAAATTGTTCTTTCCTGCTGTTAACTCAATATTTGGCCCAGTCCATAAAGCGCAGCAGAAATTGGATTTGACCTTAAAGTGTCATATTGTTATAGCTCGCCTAGCTCTGGGTTTGCATTGCCTGGGGCAATTAATAAAGCATTAATGACAAGACCCATTTAAAATGTAGGCTTTTTTGTACAGCTTTAGCTTTTACTTGACTGTGCCTGGGGATATTATGCAACAATACGCATTAGATTAAACCAACATCTACACAATATACAGAAACAGCTGGAGAGCAGGGTAATTTTACTGTTGTTATTACTTACCTATTGTTAAATACAAAGGGTTATTGTACATATACATGGGACCTTGTCAAAAGGAAGCCCATATCTTCCAATATTTTAAACAATAAGATCCTTTCCTGATTCTCATTTTCTCTAGTAATAAGGTTGTATTCAAAGGCTGGAGCATCCATATTAATTGTGCATTCTTTTCTTTTTAAAGCAATTTTTAAAGTGGTTTTATTGTTCCATTACTGCCATTGAGATTATTAAGTATAAACACCAAGATTACATTAATATTAGGCATCTGAATTGACCTGACAAAACAAAGGAATTATAGAGGTGCTAGTTTCTTTTTATTCTGGACCTCTTTTTGCGTGAACATTACAAGTGTCTCAGAAGAGTGTGTGATCTTGTATACCATTTGTTCTGCACATCTAGGTACTACAACATTCTTTATGGATTGGATTTCTGCCTTAGCTTGAGGAAACAAATATACAATGAGATGGAAGAGGCTTAGTTTATTTGTGTGTGTTCCATTGGATATCTGTGATGTTTTAGATACTATATAGTACAAAGTGAGGAACACAGTGCTTGTTGGGTTGGAATCTCAAATGAGCTTCTTCTATATAAAAATATGTAGCAGTTTCTTCAAATTTAAAGTGCTTTTGTCTTTTCAACTAAACCCAGTCTAAGTTGACTAAGTCCTCAAATATTTCACTTTACAGTTATGTTTCTTGTTCTTTGTGTGTAACCTTGGGAAAGTTATTTTCTGTGTCTGTTTCCCCACCTGTGATTGGTGATAGAGACCTGAAACATGTTGAAGTCAGAAACACTTTAAAAGACTTTTATGTTAGTGTTCTGAAGCATAAGTTTATATTTGCCTATTAATTTAAGTTATTACCAAAACTAAACAGATGTTTTCATCCCTGCAAAGAGCAGGAACGGTGTATATATAATATATATAAACCTCCACTTTGGTACACCATTGTACTGGGGCATTCCAATCAGTTCTCTACTCAGGAAGTTCAAGGAATAAACTTTTTCTATGCTTTGAGATTCAGGTTACGTCACAAGATTTCAGAGATGTCAGTCTGAACTGATGAGTTTGGGCCACACAAGTCATTCAGTCCTGTCCCCAGCAATCTGTCTGTCATTTGGTTATTCGAGGAATCCATCCCACTAGATCACTGTAGAAGGAATGCTTCCCATAATGTCATCTTAGTATATCTAATGTATATGACAGTCAGGAGGCTAAGTCCAAGAGACTTTGCCACAAGGTGAAAGCTACCTGGCTGCCCCAAGACTCAAGTTTCTGTGGTTGTAGATTGCATCCAGATTGTGAAGCTGCAGCCAGACTCTTCACCAGAACCCATGATCAGGCCCTCATTTTTGGGTAGTGTTCCTGGGGTGCTCCACTTCATATGTGCATGTGCCTCTCCTGATCAGAATTTTTTTTGTTAGCAGAGTCTCTTTGGCTCACACATGCGTCCTATACATCCTCGAGTCATGCACCAAGGCTATATTGGGCTTGACCTCTCAGCTCAGTTCCATAGAGGAAACTGATTCCTCTTGGTACTGATGGGGCTGGAAAATCCTGGAGCTTGAAGGACTGATCCATCCAACTGATCCTTGGTACCATCTATACATTACAAGGAAGGTAGGGATAAGAACTCCTCCAGACCAGGGCTATCAAGCACAGCTCCATCATCAGTACCTGCCCAGTCAGGGCCCTTGGTATCATGCAAACAGAAGCATCAGACACCATCGGCACCAACTTTAGTATGTTGTAAATCTATGGTATTGTCTGTGGCAATACCCAAGTAGACTACTGTGTTAGTACCAGTCCTCCATATGGTACAACAGTAATTTAGGTGCTTGGAAGACTTGAAATTGGCAGATGAAACAGAATTTCCACTGCTCGTAGGTACCAAACACCTCTCCGTACCAAGATTCTAGTTCTGAGGCTACCATCACTCTCCAGTAACACCTGATTTACTAGCATTTTCTGCCGGTGCCCCTATTTCCCATTCAAGGATACCGAGGGGGAGGAGGTAAACCTCCCTTCAGTCTTGTCCATTGTCCTACACATCTACATAGGAACCCATTCTTTGATACCCACAGAGAAGACTTGTGGACAACAGCATGGCTGGTGGGATCAACCAAGGATGCCACCTCATCTCCCATATGGGCCCCTGCATGGTCATATAGGTGTCCCTGAGATATGTGCAGACAGTTTGCCAGACCACCAGCTCCAACAGTGATATTCAGTCCTCTTCTCCTCAATAGAGACCCCAGCACAAGGAGACATTTGAGGAACAGGAGGCTAGGGCAGATAAAGGGGCCACCCCTCAGACTCCTGTCTGATCATCATCACAATTTGAGGTGGTCATGCGTCCACCACCATCTATGGCCAATGATTTCCAGCAATTTCAGGACATCATTAAAATAGTCTTCGAATAGCAAGAATCAAGGGTTCGCAATACAAGTTGCATGACATTTTACAATGAGAAACACCATCTGGAGCTGCATTACCTATTAACGAGGACCTGGCAAAGACTGTTTGTCAAACATCTGTTATGGTTCTGCCTACTTGAAAACAGGTGGATAAAAAGTATTTTGTCCCATCCAAGGACTCCAAATTCTTATTCTTCCACCTCCACCTAATTCGATAGTGATGAATGCAAATAACGAATAAGATAAGCAAGTCTGTCCCATATGACTATGACCAAAATTGCTTGTACTTCTTTGGACAGAAGTCCATAACCTCGCTATGCTAGATCACAAACTATCAAGCGATCTTGGCTAAATGCAATTTCACAAATTACAATAAATTTACAGCTTTTATTGATCATCTTCCGCTGGAGCAAAGGGAACAATTTCAGGCCATCATCACTGAGGATCAGTTACTAGCTAGATCATTGCTTCAAGCATCCTTACATGCCTCAGACACTGCAGCCTGATCCATTTCCATGTGGTAGTTATGTGCAGGGCGTCATGGCTCCAACTCTGAGTTCCTGAGAGAAGTTCAGAACACTGTGGAAGACCTCCCCTTCAATGGTCTGAAGCTATTTTCAGAGACCATGGATGAGTCTTTTAGCACATTAAAATTTACTATCTCTGGTTTTCTACACACCTAAGAATAAAAGAAGATTTAGTAGGTCACAAACTGCCCAGATATTTTGCTTGGTTTAATTCTCAGGGTTTCAAAGACCCACCGAATCCCCCAGCAAGAGACAAGTTCCAGAGGAAGAGAGCTGCCTATCCTCCTGCAAGTACCCAGTCATCATCAAAAAGTTTTGATTCATCAGCCAAGGGTTCAAATCCTCCTACGTCTCTAGTTCAACAGCTGCAGACTTTTGCCTATCTCCCCTAATATAGAGACTGTCTTTCCCATTTCCATCAGGCATGGAAGCAGATCATCAGAGACATAGAGGTCATAACATTACGGTACACCATCCACTTTATGTCCCTCTCTCCATTCCATCCCCATCCCTCTTCAGGGACCTTCCTTACGAGCTTTCACTGAGACAAGAAATAGACTCCCTCCTTTAATTAGGACCATTAGAGCTGGTCCACGCTCTTCACAAGGGAAGGAGTTCTATTCAAGGTATTTCCTTTTGCCAAAGAAATACAGACAGTGGAGACCAATTTTGGATTTAAAACTACTAAACAAATTTATAAAGTCTCAAAAGTTCAGGATGGTGACTTTGGCAGCTATCATCCCTTCACTAGAGGCAGGAGACTGGGTATTGGCTCTCAACCTACAAGATGCCCATTTCCATGTAGTGATATATGCATCTCACAGAAAATACCTACAGTTTGCGATAGGCTAAGATCATTTTCAAAACCGAGTACTTCCCTTTCGCCTCTCCTCAGCTCCAAGGGTGTTCTCAAAGGTCTTAGCGGTAGTAGCTGCTTACCTTCATCAGGAGGCAATTTTAGTTTTCCCATAACTTGATGACTGGCTGATCAAGGACTGATCATGTGAAGCAGTACTGTAATCCACTCAGATGGTCCTTTTTCGTATCCTGAAATTGGGTCTTCAGCTTAACGTAAGAAAATCCATGTTAAGCCCTTTATAGAAAATACCGTTCATAGGGGCATCCTAGGATTCATTGACAGCCAGAGCCCACCTCCCCAGGGACAGATTCATAACATTATTAAATCTGGTCAGGACCATTTAAGGGAGTCCTTGTACCTCAGTAAGGAACTGTCAAAAAGGTCTGTTCACTGATCAGCAACAGCTTAGACAAACAAGTCTTGGTTCCCCTTCATGTAAAGGACTCCCTAGAGTGGTGGAAAGATCAACTCAGTTTCGGTGCAGGCATTCCTTTCCTTCATCTAACTCTGACAATCACCATGACAGTGGATGCATGCCTGTTGAAATGGGGATCTCACCTCAGTACTCTCATGGCTCAGAGCA